AGTACACAGACCTTGCACTTCCAGAAAATAAGTATCTGCCAGTCCCCAGGAAGAAAGTAAAACAGTGAGCGGTAGCTGTCTTGTGGTTGCTAATAGTTCAGGAGTATGTTATAACCAAGTTATCTAATTGTGAAGGCAAGCGTTCTGGGAATTGGGCAAGTCACATTGCTAGTACAGATTCACATGAGTCTTTTTTTCTCTTAAGTTTACAAAGCTGGTTTCATCTTCATGTCTGAAAGAACAATATATTTCCAAGTAGTGAGAATAGCATGAGATGATGACAATATTATTGGTGATTCATATATATCTCCATACAGTGTTTATTCACCCCTAAAAAAACCAAATAAAATTCTTCACTTGTTTCTTGTTTTTAAACACAAATAGCAGTTTTATAAACTTACTTGCATATTTTGGAACAAGAGTCAAAAGAATTACAAGTATGTACTTTCTGAATAGTCCCAAGTTTCAGGTTGCTTAGTTCTGCTTTTGAAGGTGGGAAAGCAGCTTTCCCTTTTCAACTAACAAATAAAGCATCAATTTGATAATTACTTAGACTCTTATTTTGAAAGACAACCATAAAAATTAATGACACTTTGGTGGGTTTCTATTTTTTTAAGGAAATTCTGCACTGTATTTATTTGAATGCTATGACACAAGAACAGAAAGCTGGCACACAAAGCCCAGCATGCTGACTCAGCGATGCAGCCATGGCATGGTAGAGGCGAATGGTCTTATTTACGTATGCGGAGGAAGCTTGGGGAACAATGTTTCTGGAAGAGTCCTAAATTCCTGTGAAGTCTATGATCCAGCCACAGAAACGTAAGTATTGTATCAATTCTAATTATTTTTGATCACTTGTGGCTTTGCTTGCTCTTTGAATAACTGAAATACAGATGAATAGGAAGATGTGGTAAGTAATTTTCCTGATTTAAGCAGTAATAAATCAGTTATTTGTAGTTCTACTTAAACAGTAGTTTTTCTCAAGCAGTTTTCTTCCATATTTAATTTTCTTAATGCATTTTCTTTATTACATTCTATACTTATTTTCCAGGAATTAAATAGTGAGTTTTCCTGTTTTGTTTGGTTTTCTTTTTCCCCAGGTGGACTGAGCTGTGTCCAATGATTGAAGCCAGGAAGAATCATGGGCTGGTGTTTGTAAAGGACAAAATTTTTGCTGTGGGTGGACAAAATGGCTTAGGTACTTCAATTATATTAATTCTCTAGCTGGCCCCACAAGGTTTCATGGGTACCATTTTTTTCTTTTGCAAAGAATTCATTCCACTTTATTCAGCTGAAAAACTTTGAGCAGTACCATAAAACATATTCTGTTGTCACATCATTGTTGCCCTCCTTCTTTCACCTCCCTCCTTCCCTGTATCTTTTTCTTGTCAAATTCAGCCATGCACTGTACTGTAGCCCAGTTCTGCAGTAGTTAATATGGTTAAACCAGTCATTTAAGAAAAGATTACTGGGTTGTTGGTTGTTTTTTTAATTATTCATTATGTATTTTGAGGGATTTTAGTATTCTTTTGAGAGACAAGTAAATGCTTAGCTGCTGTTTCAGGAACTTCAGTCTAAAGACTCATGGGTGGGTCATTTATGATCTGCCTATCTCCTTGTCTTTAAAACTAGAATAGTAATAGTTTCTTTTCCAGGATAATTGAATTTTAATTACACAGGGTTTCTGAAGTGCTTTTCCAAATAGAAAATTCTCAGCTGTGAGGTTTATTAATCACTATTTATGGTAGTTGGAATATTTGATTTAGAATATAGCTTATATTTTAATTAGCTACTAAAACTATTCCAGCATGATTGATTTCTAATGCAAAAATATCAGGAGATGCATTTTTTCATGCAAACATTTTATCAATTGTTTATAGCCAGGGCTGCCATTTTGCAAAATGTTAATGTATTCACTGAATGCTCATTTTCAGTGTGTACTATTGAACCAGTAAGTTAAAGTATTACTTTGCTGTTTGTAGTCTGTAGCCTGACGGATTAGTTGCTCTTACTGTAATATAATGGGCAAGAGTTATATCTGGGGTGAAAGATTCATACCTCTTAACATCATATAAAGATTTCTTAATCTCCCAGATCTAATAATTCAGAACTGGAAGTGAAAACTCTGAGCAGTATTACAGTTGTTAAACAGGGATAACAGGATATTTGTAGATATCGTAAGGTGAAATTACTAGCTTATTTCCTAAACAAGCACATCTTAGAAAAGAGTAGATTTTGTGACTAATAACTTTTGAATCCCTTGGCCCTCTTCAAAGCCACTTAGGCTTTTAAACTTCAGTGATTTTAATATCATACTGGAGAGACATCCTCTATCAGTAAATTATTAATTTAGGTAAAGGTACTGGTGATCCCTCTAGAATAAAATGCCTTTACTATACAGAAGTTTCAGGTGGATTCCTGAGTTTCAGTCACTAGCCACAAATGCTTAAGAAATTTGGCATTGTTATTTCTTCTGTTCATGAAGCAACATGAGAATCTCTAGACAGCATATAATGTGAAATTTGTTGCATCTCACTTTCAGCCTCCTTTTTTCTGTTTCTGTATTTATAAAAGGGCAAACTGCTAGTTTAGAAACCTGTGGCCTTTTTTCCTGTTTGTTTTTAATCTAGGATTTCTTTTTTAATCTAAACCTTGAAAATAAAGACTAAGTTTAACAAAGCATTTGTATGCTGTAGTTCAGTCCATACGGTATAATGTAATAAGCAGTTACCTATCTCATTGCTTTGTAGGTGGCCTTGATAATGTAGAATATTACGATATCAAGATGAATGAATGGAAGATGGTGTCTCCAATGCCCTGGAAAGGTGTAACAGTGAAGTGTGCTGCTGTGGGATCTATAGTCTATGTCCTGGCTGGTTTTCAGGGTGTTGGTCGATTAGGGCATATTCTTGAATATAATACTGAAACAGACAAGTGGATAGCCAACTCCAAAGTCCGTGCTTTCCCAGTGACAAGTTGTTTAATCTGTGTTGTAGACACTTGTGGGGCAAATGAAGAAACTTTAGAGACCTGAAGACCTGTAGGAGATGCTGAGACATTCTTCAAGGACTTGGGGAAAGATGGCTATTGGTGCTTTGCTTCCATGTTTTACCAATTCTTGTTAAACTGAGTAATAGGAAAAACTGAGATGCAGTCTTTCCATTTGTATATACAGCATAATGTATAACATGGATCTTGTCATGCCCATTTTCTTGTCTGTTTTAAGAGATGGGGATGTGTTTTGAGAATCCACTTACTTAGCTGAGATCATATGGCATCTTCCCTTTAAAAGAACTCTGTGTGGCCTTGTCAAAAATAGACCAAATCCGATTATTTAGAACTCAAAGCATTTGATGAAGATAAGATCTCTGGTTAAATGACACTTTACTGAGCTCAGTTGCAGAAATTCTTCATTTAATAAAGGTGAGTAAATGCAGCTTGGGTCATGAGAGAAAAGAGCAAAAATTATTCTCATTTATACCTACCTGCAGAAATCTTACCAGGATGCAATGAAGATTTTTTCCTCAGGAAAGACCAAGGACAGCAGTACAATAAAGATTCCTGTGGTGAACGGGGATAGGTTATACAGCGCTCTAGATCGTCATAGCTGCCCTCTTCCAGTGACTTTCTTCCATCATTTGCATGACTGACTGCCTATCAATTTCTAAAGTTAGACAGGCCATATATGTAGATTGAAAAAACACTTTGCTAATGACATCTTCAGCATTTTTGGGAAGCTTTCACAGAAGGACTTAAATTTTTTTTATTATACTGAGGTAGGGGGATGGTGGGGGCAGTCCATAATAATTGTGCACTATAATTAGCAAGTTGGAAACTTGGCATCAATTTTCAATATCTTCCCAGGCATCAGACTGTACATACTGTGGATGCCAAGTGATTAGCAAAGATGGGAATAGGAATGGGAAAGCAAAGTCAATACAACAAATGTATTGATTTTTTTCTTGAAAATTACTGTTTTTAAAATGGCATGAACAAAGTTATTAAAGATACTTTATAGAAGTCTTCTAAAGTTGCACATGGTTATTAATCTCTGGTTTATAAGCGTATAGGTTCTGTAAATGTTTCCAGATAGTAAATTTCTTCTAGTGTAGAAGTTCAGCTTGTCAAGCTATCAGTGTCAATACTGTGTACAACTTCCAACTTCTGCAAAACTATACAAATGATGTATGTACATCTGTCCTGCTCCCATGCTAGTTTATTAATATATTAATCTAAACTTTGTCACCTCTCTTCTAACTTGCTAGTTTTTTCAGATCTGTTTCTATGAGACTATTGAATTAACTTTAAAAGTTGGTGCCTGCCTACTTGTACCTTGTGCATTGCTGGTGGTGTGGATTTTTAGTCTGTTTTATTTCTGAAGATCCTCCAAGTTCTCTTAAGCAGTATAAATTCCATTTTTCAAAGTTGGTGCTGCTTTGACTTCCTCCTGGTTTTATTCCTCATCCTAACTATTCTTCATGTACAGAAAGTGGTAGATACACTGGGGCTTAATAGTGGTTCCTGCATCTTGGTTCTTCATTCAGTAGTAACTCTTTCTTGTTTCCCTTTGCCTTTCCATTTTTCTGAGCCATGAAACAAATGTGTCACTGGTGTCTCTGATCCTTAATTCTAAAACACTGTAAAAACTGATCAGTGCATTTCTTAGGTTGTACAGGCTGGGTTTTTTATATTGACTTTTAAAATTATGAAGCACTCTTTTAGAATTTTATTTTCAAGGTATTAATAATACTTCTTAAGCTACTGAAAAACTTCTAAGTACGCAGGACATGCGAGAAGTAGCTTGTGGCGGCCCCGTGGGCAGGGCTGTGCGGAGCGGCTGCTCACGCCCCTCGAGGTGAGGGTTAGCGCTGAGGGATGTGGTGTAGTTGGGAACTGTTGGATTGATGCTTGGACTGGATGATCCTAAAAGTCTTTTCCAACCTCGACGATCCTGTCATCGTGACGTTTTCTTCACGGCACAACCTCTGTGCCAAGTAACGATGCTCATGGTGACACAGGCCGGGGACTTCCCTCGCCTTCTACCCGGGGCTCGGATGCCCGCTCAGATCCGGCTGCCGGCACGACGGAAAGGGCGGCGGAAGGCGATACTCCCCTTCCGTCTCCTCGCCCCGGCTTCGTGCTACCGCCGCGGCTCACGCTCCTCTGGCTCCTGCGGCGCGGGGGAGCGGGGCCTGCGTTTACGGAGGCCCT